CTGCATCAAGGCTTCTGTAAATAAAAAAAATCGTTTATTGCGTTGTAAAACGATGTACACCCGAATTTAGTGAAAGGATATAATTAAAAAAACAGGAAATGAAGCAGCAGAAGTCATTGCAACACATTCAGACGATTTTAGGCATTGTGATTGTGACCAAAGCATTTGCAATATTAGGGGCCAACTTTAATCAATAAGTCACCACAGCGTCTGGTTAACCAGAGAGTGCCCGCAAATGGACTCTAGAATATCCGGCGCTTTAAAATGGAACTCAAGTCTTGGAATCTTATGCAATTTGTGTCTTCCACACAATTGTCGTGCACGCGTATGAACGAATTTCGGTCCACATTACCATTTGAAAGGAGAGTGATGGCCGAACTTACGGATTCAAAAACATGCTCAAAAATGCACGCAAGACTACGAAAATGATATTTTGGCTGAACGGCACTAGTTAAAAACTAGAAAATAGCTGGGAGAAGAGAACGTAAAAGCCGCTAACAGTACATACAAAAGTGTGTTGGGTGTATAGCTGGTTAGTATGCTCAAAAATTATTTTGCCAGCAAAGAACATATATTTCGCGGTCGAACGATATCCTTCACAAGCAGGAGTATGAGATTCGGTGCTGTCGGCTTTTGTGTAATTAAAAATCGGAAGGACGTTTCCTGTGGGCCATCCTTGCAGTGATTGTGGTGAAGATTCATCGTGTCATCCCTGATATCTTCCGTGTGATGGTCGCGATTCTTCATGTCGATTTCGGATCGACAAACCGGAAATTTTGCAGTCACAATCGTCTTATTTCATTCTTTTGTGGGACCGGGAGTTGTCTCCACATCTATCGTTGCGCATCTGTTGCACGTGGGAGCAATTATTTTCCACATTCATCAAATTTTACCAGCGAAAGAGATCCACGTGCCAGGACGTGATTGGTTGTTCTACGGTTTAATTCCTTCTTACTCGAGTAACATTTCAAAAGACAAACTATGCCAGACTGAGTGGTGACAATACGTCTGACACTCTTCTTTGGTCACAAAATTAGGCACATTCTTATTAATACCTACACCATGTTCAACGATTGCTAAAAAGGCACATTCTTATTAATAACTACACCATGTTCAACGATTGCTAAAAATCATTTAAGTTATGCAAACATTTAGGCAACAAATAGTAATTAAACTGCAAATAACACATACCTGCCAACTTCGGCAGTTCTCGCTGCAAGAAATCTGTACAAAAAATAAAGAGCAAATACATCTGCGAGTAAAAATGAATTTTCATAGAACAATTGCGCCAATAGAGGAGCGCCACAAATGTTGAGCTTGCCAATCTAAAATGCCGAGGTTGAGAAAAGTGATCGTTGAAAAAAAATTAGTTCCCAAACACGTGTAGAGTGGAACGTGTACAGGAACTGCTTCAAGGTATTCGTTATGTGGATAACTTGTAAAGTGTCGAATTTGCTGGCGCCAGTGCTGCAAAAAATACAACTGAGATCTTGTTAAATTCACGCTCTGCACTAGCTCACGTTGTGCTGGTGCTACGCGATATAAAAGACGTATATTTATTTAGAATTTACCGAGAAATATTTTTCCATTATTTTTGGGTACAATCTGGATGACCATAAAGCGCAGTGCGTCGTGCTCAAAGTCGAGCTAGGGATATCTTCCCCCGACCTGATATTAATAATTTTCGGTAAGAACTAGGGAACTTTGGTTTAAAGTGTGAATGAAAAACATGTTTCGGTCAAATCAAGAATGGTTTTGCAGTATTATTTTTTTATCACTGCACTCCTCGTTTTCTCCAACGTCGTAGTTTTGGAGGACTAATTTTCCATCAACTTTACTTCCTCCGCAACCTGGATTTAAACTAGTAACGGGGATAATCTATTTCCAATGGCATCTGCATTTACATTGTTTAAGGCTATACATGGCTCCACTTATGTAAAATTATTCCATTATTTATTTGATTGTTCCTCTCCCAGTTGCTCGTGAGTTCGCACAGATAACGTCGGCGCACTGGTTTTTTAAAAGGTGAGGATATGATCCCGCCTGAAGTATGTTGTTAACCAATTTAAGCACTAGCCTTATTTGCCTACTGAGAATGTGGCGAATTTCAAAGGCCCCTTAATCATGAATTCAAAATTGCCCTAATGCGTAAAAAGGGGACAGTTGTGCTGACGCTCTAATATCAATGCAAACGTAATGTTTAATTGTTAAAGACTTGGCGAATTATTGCAATTTTTATTACTATTCATATAATAATAATCATGGACGTTATGATGAACCATATCATTCCTAATCGCAGTTAAGGAAAGAGGCATATGAATAATATATTTCAATGCGTACCATTAATGTTTTTGAATGTGTTCAGCACATAAACTATTGATTGTTGGGAATGTAGAGTGTTTGTCAATGAAGTTATTGCGTTTCATTACAAACATTCATGATTTAAGGATGTGTAATCTAAAATTAGGATGAGGTATTTCTTGAATTATGTTTTATTTGTTACTTTCCAAGATGGAACCCATTATATTAATCCCAATTTAAAGCATATGTCATTCTATGAGTTCAGCAGTACAACAACAATATTGTGCGTTACAAAGCCGTACTTCTGTGAATTAGAAGACTACACATGTGTATGTTTACGGGTATAAAACGTGTGACGTCCTTGAAAGGGAAAATTTTGTATGTTCTGAATAGAATATTTTCTCCGTTTGGATAACTTGCACCAACTTAATGTCAGATCAACGAACTTGATACGCATTTCATAGCCACCCAAATTGCTTTGTGTCAGTAGAAGTTATGATCCCTCTAGCACTTGTACCTAAGTTACTTTCTTATTTGTTAACCTCTTGTTAACCTCGTAACTACGGTCACCAAAATTTTGTTTCTTGTAATAAATCCAGCGTCATAGGGAGTAAACCTAATGATGGTTCCAAGATAATGTACTGCATGTTTTCTTGGACGCACCGTTATTTTGCCCGATTCCCCACATCAGTTTTGTGGCAAATATAAAGCCTTCTCTTACGAAAGGTGAGGACTTATGAAATCACAAAGTAGCCTATATGGAAGCAAGTATTAAAACGTTCCGCTAACATGTATTAAGAATCAAAAATTACCGAGTTTAATGTCAACATGGAATGCAAGTTCGCAAAGCTATGTCAGTCTGTTGCTGCAGTTTTGCCAATAACTAGGTAAGAACATAAATTTTCTTTTTCGTGACTATATATATGAGTGTGTTAACTACGCTGCGTCCTGTCGGTATAGAGAAGTTACATAAATAGAGTCCAACTGACGCTTGTAAAGAAAAATCCTGCTTGACTGATCCATTGGGAGAATTGAAAATGATGCCCGAATTTAAAGTGGCCCTATCCAAATCATCCGTCCACGGAAACCCAGCAATACATTTCCAGACTTAGGCATAGCACACTATGTATATACATATCATTTTCTATTCCTCCAAACAAATTTCAAAAAATCAGCAATCCTGCTGATTTACACTGCTGTCTGTAGGTTGTTAAAATTGTCGTCATGTGAACGATGCTGTTAACTAATCAACTAAATGTGGTCTCCAAATGACTCATTATTTGAGTTTCTTGACCGGCGCGCTCAGAAATATTGTGCATGATTTTCAGTTATGCTCATGTGCCGACTTTAATCAGAATGGCGTCACATACAGCAAATAGGTTCTGGCCTGCTATTTGTTGTATCTTTTTTCTCAGGCGTACACTGATAAGATGGGCCTTGAATAAAAAGTTCACGCGATATATTTTAAGCAATTACAGTGCAGTACAGTACTGCACACTGCTTACTCCTAATGAGGCAATTGTCAAGTGCTCTAAGCTAATAATTTGCCGAAATAACAAAGTATAGCACCGTTGGATCTTACCCGCCGCTACTCCTCTAGCTTGCGTTTTGTTACCTGTGGCATTTTTGGTTGACCCGTGCACCAAATGAACGAATAAATAAAGGAACGTTCAAAAAAAAGTAACATCTTGATAGCTACGAAATCCTTCTATATTTGAAGTGCAATTGTGCATCGGTATATAATGATGGTAGCGCACGACGCTTATTACCGGCATTCACTTGTTTACTTCACGCCGATTTTAAAGCCTACCTGCGGAAAGATCATGCGTACACACGGCTAAATGCTGTCGTTGAAATTTTCGTTCTAGAAATGATCGCTAGCAGGAACTTGAAGACTTTGCAACGTACTCATTTCCAAAAAGCCAGTTAGTGGAAACCGAATTTGATAAAGAAACTGGGTGGCGTTTCTTATGCTACCGGGTTTGATGAAAGATATAACATTTCTGTGATTACAATAAATAAAAGACCACACAAACTTATCGTGCGTGAGATTATCTTGTACAGCTGCTCTGCACTAGTTTTACACCACAAGTATTTGGGAAGCGGAATCGGCCGTTTCACCGTGCTAAGTCTCGCCGACCAAGTGTCTTCGTCGGATTTTGGAACACCCAAGTGATATTTGCACAAATCTTCAAATTGATATAAGTTGGTTCTTTAAATCGTTAAAACCCAAATGCTGAGGGATGTTTGGCTGATCCTCGAGATATATTCACGACAGAATATTAGATGAATATTTTGGAGAATTAGTCCGCCAGAAAGCTGAAATTCAACTTTGAAACGATTGACCATGGAATTTGTTTTACGTCCGGTGTTTGCTCAGTGATTCTTTTAGGACGCTGCGTAACCATTAAATAGGCCGGCTTGCTGTCGAGCATCAAAATGATTATTTTTGGTACTTTCAAAACAGAAGACTGGCGTCCGTGAATGTGTAAACATGTGAAATGTTTTCAAGATACCCACAATGCGGGTATTCTTCTGAGCTGCAAAAAAGGACACTTTTAGGTGGCCTTAAGGAATTAACGTTCGATAAAAAGTCAATCTTGGGAGTCTTTGTTATTATAATCCATGTCTTGCTAAATGCATGTTGAAGTTAGCGCACCAAAATAAAGTGTTCAAAAATACACATACCATGAAGTGATGAAATCCAACTCGTTATTGAATCTGTATTGTCAAAATTGCATGAAATTCTTATCCAAATTGGAAAATATTTTCTAAATCACTCAAGGTTTGAAGCATAATTTACATGGGATGCTCAAAGTCTAAAAGCCAGTTATGATGAAGCCAACACGTTTGTTATTGATCAAGGCTTGTTTGAATGACAGAAGTTTGATGTTACACACCAGTACATGTCAAATGTCATCTACCGTTGCCTGATCGTAAAAGTTTTCAGCTTTCGAATAATGTGAATATCTCTCTCCCATCAAACGTTTATAAATCGAGGTTTCGCACAAAATCTAATCATGAATATCAAGAACATCAAGAATAACGCTGTTGCACCGATCGCGCTACCATGAATTGATCCGTAGAAAGCTTTCCGAATGCACACAGCTCATCTGAAAGAAAATCGCTTGTGCGGGGATACGATGCAACAAAGCAGTGGGCGACTTAAAACTAGTAAAACAAGTAATAACTTTAAATTGGTCTGTTGATGAAACCAGAAACACTGAAAAGTAACAGGTCGCGCCTCACCGATTATTGATGAAAGGTGGCTGGTTATTTGATCTTAAAGAGAGAAAACGAGAAATTGGTTGCGCACAGCTTCAAATCAGGTCAATAATACCACTCAGATCAAAGAAATCAGTATAGAAAACAAAACTGTATGAGACGTACGTAAGTTATCGGAACAAACGTTTAGGGTTAATTACCACAATGCTGATTTTAAGATATGGCAACACGCACCAGATCCCGATTAACAAACTTTGTTACTTCTGTCGATGTGGTAGATATTTTGCGTCCTTGCGTTTGCATTGTTGAATAACAAAAGCCTGTTCTGCTTTGCTCTTTCCGCCCTTGCCCATAAGCGATTATAAGGGTACCGCGCTGAGCTTCCGGCTTCATAACTACCAACATGCAAGAGAATAACGTTGAAAAGCGAGCTTTGGCTGCCAAAAGTAGCCCCCGATTAACACACTTTGTTACTTCTGTCGATGTGGTAGATATTTTGCGTCCTTGCGCTTGCATTGTTGAATAACAAAAATCCTGTTCCCTTTGCTCTTTCCGCCCTTGCCCATAAGCGATTATAAGGGTACCGCGCTGAGCTTCCGGCTACATAACTACCAACATGCAAGAGAATAACGTTGAAGAGCGAGCTTTGGCTGCCAAAAGTAGCCCAATTGATGTCCTACATAAACCGAGTGGGAGTG